TGGGCGACTTGGACAAGCACATCTGGTTGGATTCCTCGGAGACAGTCTCGCGATAAGAGACCACGGGATCGGACTTCTTCAATGGGATGCAAGCGTGATCTTCCTCCAAATCCTTAAGGCAAATTTCCAAATGCAATTCACCAGCACCGGCAATGATGTGCTCACCAGACTCCTCAATGATGCACTGCACCATAGGATCAGACTTGGCCAGACGCTTCAGACCCTCCACCAACTTGGGCAAATCAGCAGGGTTCTTGGGCTCGACGGCAACACGCACCACAGGCGACACGGAGAACTTCATCACCTGGAGAATTAAGAAACAACGAATTGAATATTAATAAGCTAATCATTAGAAGATTCGAGTCTTTATTACCTTCATGTTGTGGGCATCCTTGAAGGTAGTGATGGTACCGGTCTTAACCAGGAACTGATCGACACCGACCAGACCGCAAATGTTGCCGGATGGGACATCCTCAATAGCCTCCACATAGCGACCCATCATCAGAATGGTGCGCTGAATGGCCTTCTCGTACAGATCCTCCTTCTTGCCGGGCGTGTAGTTGGGGCCCATGATGCGGCACTTCTGGCCGGTGGCCACCTTGCCGGAGAACACACGGCCGAAGGCATAGAAACGTCCCTTATCGGAGGTCGGTACCATCTTGGAGATGTACATCATCAATGGACCATCGGGATCGCAGTTCTTGACAGCGATGGCAGCCTCATCATCATGAGGACCCTCGTACAGCATCTCCATACGGTACTTCTGGGCAACCACGGGCGATGGCAAATGGATGGCAATCATCTGAAGCAGTGCCTCACCGGCTGGCAGCCAGGTGCGCATCACGGTCTTCAACAGCGCCTTGCCATCCTTGTCCTTATCCTCGTGCTTGAGCGTAACGCCGATCTTCTCCAGCAGCGTGCCGATCTCCTCCTTTTTGTAGTTCATGATGGCATCGAACACCTTGTAGATGGGATCCAGGATGTACATGCAGAAGGAGCGCTTGTTGTCCGCCTCCTTTTGCTTCTGCCATTTCTTGGTCTTGGCATT